TTGCATGTGGTTTTTCCCAAGTGAAATAATACAAGCCTGCTTTACTGCTTTGTTTTATGCTGTATTTTTTCATGAAAAGTTAAAACAGGTTTTTATAAAAAATTAATACCTAATGACATATAAATTACATAATAGCAAAGTGCGTAAATTTAAAATTTTATTATATGTTGCTGTACATAACTGATATAGCTTTAATGTCTAATCATTTTGAAAGTGTAAATGCTTAAGTTTCTTAGTTTTTTAGTTAAAAGAATTAGTTTCACAGAAATAGAAATATCCTAGAAAATCTAAAAGAATGTGAATAAACTTATTTCTGATTTCTTCCCGCGTTTGCAAGTTATGGCATACTGAAACAGATAACATGCATTTGAAACGTAACTGTCGCGCATATCTGCGATGTTATTGCCATGCAATGTTTTACAGATATTTATTTTTTACACGTTACTTGATGCAATGTGTGAGGTTTTACTTGATCTGGGATAAAAAGAGAATTATTGCTGTGTCTGAAGTAGCTACAAATCTGGAGAAGGAAATAAGAAAGGAAATAATGAAGGAAAGAACCTTTTTATTTAAACATAATTTACAACATAAACGCAATCTCTTGTGCTAACAATATTAGCCACACCTCGTAGCTCGTGATGATGCAACTAAAGGAACAGATAAATTCAAGTTAAACGTGGAACATTAGCCAAAGACTACACAATTTAATATTATACGAAGCTGGCTCAGTACTTTTACCGGAGCGTCAAAATAAAATTGTTGGCAGCAATATAACGCAAAGCTGAAGGATCACAACCATCAGAGCTGATAGGCATTAAACAAAGCGTGCATGAGCAGCCAGAAACATACTCTCTTTTAAAACTCCAAAAAATGTCAGTTTAAATACTGCCTACTCATTTGTATTCTGGTGAGGAAAACGGAAAGCAGAAGTTGTAGTAAAGGCTGAAATATAAATAAAAGGTTAATTTAAATAATAACTTTATAAGTGATATTTGAAAACTGGGAATTTTATTGCCGTTTTATTTTCTACAGCGATATTTTATGCCACGATGTTTTAGAATTTCGATCTTTTCTCCTAGCTTTCTTTTCAGTCATGATATTTTATACGATAATATTTTCTACCTCGCGTTGTTTTCCACAACTTTTTTATCTTTGGTCTTTTTACCGCAAACCTACTTCTTAACCCCTTTTCCACCATCCCGTTAACTCCGAACTTAATTACGTCATGCGTCTCGAAAGATTTTATTTTCACTGAGTCGATCACGTCACCCTCCACTTGGGTTCAGGCTTAAGTAGTCGGTGGGTTCTATCAGCTCTTAAGTTTACGATTAGGTACTTCGTATGAAACAGATATATCAGGCATGGCCAAACTGCAATTCGTGAGCTGCTTGCGGATCTTTGACCTCTTAAATTGCAAATTCCTTTGTAACAAACAATAATTTTACATTTGAACTATCATTCCAACTTAAAGCAGAATGTCTTATACTGCACGTTTTTTCTAGCAATAAGCAATTTCATCTTTTAAATTATAGTACTGTAATTTTAAAAAGTTCGAATCTGTGAAATATTTCTGTTTTTTTTTTTTTTTTTTTTTTTTTTACCGTAGCGAAAAAATTTTTAGCGAAATTAACAGAGACAGAAAGGACAACTACACTAGCAACACGTTGCTTTGATGAGCTACCTCAAGTCCTACTGAATCAGATTATGGTTATGTTTCGTTGAATTTGCATCGAAAGAAGTCAAATGTATCTGTTGCATTTAATAAATTAATTTAATGATTTAGCATTAGTATAGTCTTCTCGGTAGCTATGCACGAAAACTAAACTATTACATTTTTATGAGCAATCCAGCTAAATTGACAGTTTATTTTAAATAATTTTCTTACATCGAAATGTAGTTTCTCTGAGCAGTGTTCTATTTTATTTCATATTTTTCACCAAAAAAATTAGCTAAGTTGACAATTTGTTTTAAATATTTTTCTATATCGATTTATGATTTCTATGCCCAGTGTTATTTTCCTTTTCGCTTTTTTAGAATTCTGTAAATTCACTAATTCTGCTTTTCAAATCACGGCTTATTTCCATGAAAATCAGTTGACAATTATATTCAGAATAAGGTAAGAAATGTTTGGAAGCCAAACCGTAATGCTTGGGTTTCTGTCTGAAAACAGAATGATGAGTGATACAGTGCAAAAGTTTCAAAATTTGTGCACTGTTTAAAAAATTACTTTACCGGAAAAAAAAAGAAAACGAAAACGTCAATTTATTAATGTTTATACTAAACAACCTTATTAATTTTAAAATGCGATATCTTTTTAAAATTGAGTGAAATATTTCTTTCTATTCGAAAACAGTTTTATGGCTTTTAAAATGATACAAATATACAGTTGCGTCTCTTGGTAAATCTAATTGTGGCCTTTTTAATTTTCTGAATTCTAAATTGTGGTTTTAACTGATACGAAACTTGGTCACTCATGGTATATACCTTTTAATTACGTACGTGTCTTGCCGTTCAGATTTTGCTATAAAAATTAAAACTTCGTAAAATGAGAATTTTAAGGTTCTAAATAACCATTTCATTAACAAAACCTCATCTCCCTTTAACCTGCGAAATGCTGAGTAATGATCACTTCACATCTGACTAAAAAATTTACAGCAGTTGTATGCAGCACAACAGTTCTTTGTCTTAATGTTATCTCTCGCTTTTCAAGCGTGAAAATGATTTAAAAACGCACAATATTTTAAAGTAGCATCATCTCACCCAAGAAGGTTCTCTGATAAGCAAATATACAGATAACAGTTATTTTTTTCAAGGTTTCAAAGCGAAAGATTTGTCAAAGCAATAATAAACCGAGTACGTAAGATTCGTTATACTACAAAGGAGAGCGGTAGCAAAGCTTTTAGTAAGTTTGAATGTCTTATTTTTATCCCGTTTTACATTAAAACTGCATTATATGAAGAAAATTTATTTCCAAAGTTTTAAAGGTGTATATACCAAAATGCACTGTTTGAAAACATATGTCTTTCAACTTTTTGTAATTTTCATTAAGTTTCAGTTTGCCTAATAAAACTCTTGCAAATAATTATTTGTAAAACACATTTTGCAAAAAAGTTTTAATAATCTTGGTTACATTTATTGTTTTCTTCAGTTAATGTCTGTAATTCTTTCGTTTTACAGACATGAATGGAAACGTTTTCATTGCTTGGATATGGACTTTAGAGTTAACTACTGTGAATTCTTATTACTTTCAAAATACCGAAGTTTAAAAGCCATAATGAAACTAACTGAAACAAAACAAAATGAAACAGATTGACAAATCAAAAGTTTTTCTTTCAGATCGAAAGAAGCAATATTTAAAATCAAAAGTGTAAATCGAGAACAATTTTCAAAAGTTTTTAACTTTTCATTACATTATTATATGGTTCGTTTAAGCTGTTAGCTACTTTAAAATGTTAATTAGCTTTTGATAATTATACATATTTAGTTATAGTTACTTAATTGTTATGCTACTTTGCTATTTTCTTCCATTTAGGATTCCTGTTTCTCTTCTTCCCCACTTTTTTAAAACAGTAAATACATGCATGTTAATCGTAACAAATCTCAACTCTATGTATGTGGATCGCAGTGTTAAATAGCTTGGAAAACACTGTTTGAAAAACTCGAAATTTAGGTTCAAATTTAGGAACTTATTCTGTAAAATAATCTGCTTTTTATATAGATATGATACCGCAATATGGGCTGCTTTTTATTGAAAGAATTTAAATTCTTTCAATAAAAATATGAAGTTATCTTCTTAAGAGCACTAAAAAAGGTGTGACTTTTTTAATTTTTTAAATAGTAGTATAATTATAGACAGTTATTTTGCAATAGTTTTAGATAGAAATGAAAATTTAGACACTACCTAGACTACGCCATTTATTACATAAAAATACGTAAATTCTTGGTACAGCATTAATTACTTTAATTAAGGTATTTCATTTAAGGGACATTTTTGTATTTGAAAACTGGGTTTGATCTAACACTGCAACAAAGAAACAATGGTACTTCCTTTTAGTTAAAACGGCCATCAAATGCTTACGCGAAACACACACGAAAACACTTAAGCGGGAACACTTTACGCGGAAATTAAAAATAATTTGGTAAAAAAATAGTACTGCAATCTTCAAAAAATGAAAAATTGCAATCTACGGGATCTAAGGATGTATCTTTATAGAGGATCTTATCTTTCTAGTCTACGAGATTTATCTTTCTAGAGGTTATAACTGCGGAACTGCTGCTGCTATGGAACCAAATATTGATACTTTCTGATTTCGTCCTATATTTAATTGTCTATTACGCTATCTTATAGAAGTTTGTTCTTCAACCCAACAGTATATGAAACGCAAAGAGGTAAGAAAAGGGATCTCCGAAACATGAAACAAATAATCGGTACTCAGACCTTTTTCCCTGCAATTTTTCCCATTGCATCTTCAAATAATTTGCTTTCCAATAAATATTTTCATTTGGTAACCATTTTTACTTTTGCGTTAAGCAAAATTCCATAAAATAATCACTGGTTCTTCTTCAGTTGATGGTAAGTTAAGCGGAGTTAATTTTTTAAAGGGGTAAAGTAACGAGTGGATACAAAAGAATGAAAGATAGATTGAAGGAACAACAAGATTTTCCATTTAATAAAAAAGCTAAAAAAAAGTCAGTATTTTAGAGGGGAGAAAGTAAGGAAAGAATGATATTACACGGTCTAAACTAAGCATGCAGAAAAACAATGAAAATCAAACACGTTTGCATGTAATAAATATCACAGAAATGAATTTTTTCTTTTCTAATTGATTATAAATTAAAAAATGGTTAACAATTTAAAGGAAGAAAAAATGCTGAATTGATGATAGTACATGAACAATTTCCTAATCTAAACAATCTGCTAATTAATCGGTCTGCATGTTTAAAAATTTGGCTATTAAGTTTGCCAATTCTAGCCATAAATCTTTCAATTTTAGCGATTGAATGTGGTTGCCGCTTTAAAAAGGAAGTACCGAAATGGTTTCAGTAAAACTTCGTTTTAAAATAAGTTAGAGTTCAGAATATTTTATGAAAGTATTTAAACAAAAATATGTCATTATTATTTTACAAGGAAATTCATTGAAACAAATAATTAAAAACTTTTCTTGGTTGTAGTTTAAAATGTACATAATGAATCAAGCGCAAACCTAGAAATACTCATAACATATTATTATAAAGGAATAATCATACATATTATTATAAAGGAATAATCATACATATTATTATAAAGGAATAATCAGTATGCTTCCCAAAACAGTCCAGAATCTCAGTAAAGGTAAGAGCCCTGTAAACTTTCACGGATACAATGGGAATAAAAATAATAAAATATGAAAATACTGCATATGTTTTTCCTTGTTTAATGTACTTGTTAATAGTGCCGAAACTTGATCTTTTTAGTTTGCATTTTCATTTTCGATCTGTATTTTGGGTGAGAAGACTGCAAATCTGCAAACAAAATGGTGAAACTGTCTGAGAAATGGCTTAGGATAATAAAGACGACCAATTTATATCTCTGTTTTTTCAATCTGGTAAGTGATTTCGAACAATTTTTGAAATGCTGAAGCAAAGAGATTTTAAAAAATCCAAACTGTTGAAAAATTAAATGTCTTAAGCATATCATCAACTTTTAATTTACGTCTTGAGGAAGATTTTACGTTTAAAGAGACTCCTATGAGGATGAGTTTTGACGGGAAAATATATGTTTCTGACGGCTCTAGTTTATTTCTTGAACAGATTCTGGTTTTGCGTATAAGAAGTAAAATTTTGCTTGCAAAACTCAAGCTAATATTAAGTATTACAAAGACCGAGTTATTTTTCACGCTCAGTTTTATATAAAATCAATTACGTAAATGTCTACGTTCAGCACTTGGCAGTAGTATGTGATTTTTAATTATGGTTGAACAGGTAATCGGTTAGGAAAAAGTTGAAGCTATATGCTTCAAAAAAAGTATACTATGATGAAGGAAATTTTGAAAGAAACTAACTAGTACCTATATTATAAAGATTAAAAAAAGCGCGAAAATTTCCATGTAGCTGATTTATTCTCCTGCAAGTTATATATTTAATTTGTAGGGTTTATATTTATTTTAACTAACATTTATTTTAAGTTTAAACTATCTTTCCTGTCAAGCCTTACTTTCCCCCTGGAACTGCCAATGCCAGAATATGTAAATTTGAGTAGAACGCGCAAGCATTCAAATTATCAGCGGAAGTGTATGATTTAAATAGAAGGAAACGAGTTCGGAAAGGGAGTTATTCTTACTTAGCGAGCGCGGAGGTGTTAGAGAAAAAGAACCCCCGCGTTGCGGCCTATGTGCTTGGCGGGAAGTAGTTGCAATTGCTCCAGTGAGCTTCAAGTCGCTGAATTAGCAGCCGTATTGTAAAACGCGGTGAGTTAGTTATTTGAGAGAGCCTCGTAGTTAGAATATTGTCTTTAATTTCTTTTCAGGTTTTATTTTATTTTGACTGCCGAGTTGGCACCCTTTGTAAGCGTCAAGAGAAACGCAATTGTAATTCAGTACGTTGAATAAAAAGGGACTTAAACCCTTTACAAGACTCTGTGGTTTATACAAGCTTTTACAGTCACCCTTGGTTGCGTGCAAGTTAGAGGCGCGCAACGCTATAAATTAAACATTGACTGGCTACCAGTTTGTCATTTAATTTTCAGTAAGTTTTCAATCCCATTGTTGTGAAATTAAAAAGAATAAAAATGCAAATATTTATGGTACTAACCGAGGCAAAACTAGCTTCATATCTTCTGAATCGCAAGTTAAACTGGAGGTAGTGCTCGGAAGTTATAAGAAATGATGAATGCAAGCCATAAAGATAATCTACTCCATCTTTCAATAAAATGTAATAAAGGTATATCGATTTTTGGTTCGATTTTAATTTTAATTTTAATTTCGATTCTAATTTTTAAATACGTGGGCTTCAAGTGGTATATATAACCTTGGCACTTTATCAAGCAAACTGTGCATTACCCATAAGCTATCGAAGATGACAACCACCCTCGAATAATTTCTACTTGAACTAATGTTTAGTATCCCAGCAATTTTAGGCGCTATCAGAGACTGCAAGTAGTCAGACAAGAACACTTCTCAGTCCTTTTTTAAATTTAATTTCTTGTTCAACAGGCTGTTAAAATTTTAAATGTGGTTGCAAATACTATTTTTAAATATAAAATTCTCATCACGTAGCCTTGTAGTCCTTTGGATGCAATTTTCAATTAAAACAATTTTTATAAAACACAAACAAATTACAAGTAATTAAAGCTGCTATCCGTATTTCCCGGTAGCTGTTCTGTATGATTCATCCAGTAATTTACAGAACGAGTTCAAGATTAATTGAAGGTTTCGAGATATAAGTATTAAATCAATTCTCGAAATGAATAAAATCTGATGTAATCGTATTTTTTTCTCCCAATAGTCTTCTTACTCATCTTCCTTCTTAAATGTAGGTCAGAAAGAAATCTTCGGGGAATATGCGTCAGTCTCTGACGTGCATTCTTTGAAGGCTCGTTTCGGTCCAGTGACATAAACTTCATTTAGATTGACGACGTCGTTGTGAAGACTTACGACAAAATGCGATATGTTTGAGAATGAACTTAATCATAAGAAAGCTTGAGAGCTAATCTTGAGTAGAAATAAAAGTCCTCTTAGGAAACATTAATTACATAACCATAAGTAACAGCTTTTACTTAATAAGTTCTAGCTAAAAATCATAAGCAAGTTAAGTTTCTAATGTTTAAGTTTTATAATTGAATGATCAGAAATTTTGTCATCTTAAAGTAATATTCTATAACGATTAACCTTCACATATCAGTCATATATATAAAAAGTACGCTGCTACAGCGAAAGCATCCTTAAAGTTTGAATGATAATTTCCATAATTAATTCAATAACTACTTTCCTGAAAATAGCGTTTGACGGGCTAGAATAGCAAAAGCTACGATATAATAATTTTTGGAGAATAAGTTAAAAAATATGGAATTTGTGTATTAGTAAAATATATAAAATCAGAAAGGCCCTTACTTTAAATTTCCAGCTTGAGAATAAACGCATTACGTAACTGTAGCTTAAATTAGGTAAACTAAATCAATTAAGAAATCATGGCCTCATTTAGTTATGAGATAGATATGCTTAAAATACGCGTTACTCCAAAAAATTAATGTCTTAAAAATGGCTTAATATAAGATAAACCATATGAGTCGCAAAGGAAAATGTATAACTTAGGAATTAATTATTTCAGAGGTTAATTCTTGAATTTTATATCTGCTCAACAGTGATAAAAGGTATTAATATTTATTTTAGCTCAACCAGAAAATTGCACAATAAAACTATTCTTTCATTAGAAGGTATTTCTCCCACCTTCCTAGCGTGCCTTCATGGTGTAGTACTCAGCACACTCAGCGCGTAATTGAGAGGTCCACGGTTCGATTCCCGGCGAAAGCGTTGCTAATTTTTCATCTTTCCTGCTTCCGAAAAATCCTAATGTCTCTACATCATATTTTCAACAAAAATGACAAATTAGTGCACACGTGCCGAATTTAGCTTTCTTTAACTCCGATTATTGTAGTAATTATTAAGATGGCGATAACTTTCGAAATTTTTCTTTTATTACTGAAAAACTTCTTTAAACGTTCAGCGACGGGTCCCTTTATATACGATACCCAGTGTACATAAAAGAATTATTGAATTATTTATTGACGACACTTGTTCTTAGATTTTTAATGTATAAGGAAATGAATAAATAGGCAAACTTTTATGCCTTTAGGAAAGTTCTAACACATACTTTTCAGGATATCCTGCGAGCATTATTTTCATTCAAAATAATTTAATTAGTATTTAGCAATTAGACATGGATTAGAACCAACATCGACATAAGAACCTTCGATGTTTTTACTGCAATAGGTAAGAAAAAAAATTTTTTTAGAGGACACGAAAAACAGGTATCAGATAACAGATACTTGGAGCATGCTCATACTTGCTACTGGATTGCCATGTGCTTACGGGCCCCAACATTCGTTGAGGCGTTATGACTGCTGAATACTGGTAGTTCAGTTTAGGTTCCAATCATTACAGAATATTTATACTATTATAGATATATTTTTGCATCTGCAATTATTTGTTTTATGATGTTAAAAGGAATTATGCGGATATATGCTTCCAAATTTACGGGATCAAAACTAAACAGAATTCTTGGAAGTAACCCCAAAATTTTTTTTTCACACAAAGTTCTCCGTTTATTTTACATTATTTGATTACTCGTACTGTTTTTTACATAATTCAGTTACTTATTAGTTGTTTACGTTTCATAATTAATTTTTAAATACTTTTGTTACTAAGCAGTTATTTAGTAGCAAGTAAACTAAGATTTAAAAATATAATCAGGTAGGATTTTTATTGAAATTACAAAGCGTAACATCATAAAACTTAAACACGATCAAATGAAAATATTGCAATCACCGTGCAATTATTTTCCAGCTATAATACGCATTTCCGCCCGTAAAAGTCAAGAAGTACATAGTGTTAGAAATACAAGTTTCTGACCAATTGTGCTTCATTCTTTGTTAATTATTACGCCAACACTTCAATTCTTATGCATCCCTTTGTAATGCACTGCTCTGTATCATGCATTCGCATAAGCTGGTAACAAAACATCCAATCTGTATCTGTAACGTGAACATGAGCGTCTTTCCCTTAGAAAGTCCTCCAAGAAGGCCTCCTTTTGTTTAGCAGATAGTATCGGTGTAGTGCGAAGTCGTCAGCTAATAAATCTAAATTCGTAACAAAACATACAGTCACTTAAGCGCATATGATATAGTGATTACTGGTTTAGCTCATCCCGTGTTCCGTTGCCGCCTGCTGAATGGTCTACCTTCATGTGATTTTCCAAGTGCATGAATATGAGCCATTTCTTCTGAAACAGCCCTTCACAAAAGCATTATTCTTAAAACGGACAGCTTTCGAATGTTTTATCGTAATAAACATATACTTACCTATATTTCTTCTGCTCAAGGCAGTTTGTTGTTCATCTGGTAAGGTCGTTAGGTTATTTTGAAGCAGAAGATGTGAAAAATGTGCAGTGCCCTCTCCGGGACTCGTACCTGGGCCTTTCGAATATGCGCCGAATGTGTTACCGTTACACTAGGAAGGCATGCTGGAAGGAGGGAGAAAATCTTTAAAAGGGAGACTCGGGATTAGGGGACTAAATCCTGGTGAATTCGCCAAATCCTGGTGATGACGAATTATTATCCGCCGCCTTTTAGTTCAAAGGCCACTGCAGAATCATTCGGTTATTTTGAAGCTAGAGTCGTGAAAAAAAAAAAATGTGCAATTCCCTCGCCGGGAGGAGTTTTTATCCACCATCCACCTTTTGCTCTGAATTTTTTTTCGCGTTTTAAGAGATGTGGTAAATAAATTTTGCGTGTGATCTGCAAAATTAATTATCGAATAATCGAATTCACCGAATATTTCTTAGAAAATCTACACATTTTGCTCAAACGCAAATTATTCGCGATTATAGTACTGTGGACTGTTCAAATTCAAAATCACTTATTTAGGGTTCCCCACCAGAAGTCCATGTACTGGCTTAAAAACTAAATTGCTATAGTCACTAAGAGTTTCTGTTTCACTTTCCATCATCTATAATTAACATATAAGGGTATTCTACATATCTTACATATTATTATATTATACGTCCCTTACACATATAATTATGCTAATATAATTCGAAGCAGTCCGAACTGAAAAAGTCCTAAAAGATTTAGTTAATGCGCAAAAAAAGTATGCGGTAGCTCCTTTGACGCAGATAAAAATATTCCTGCACTTAATGTCACGTAGTACATTACTTCATCATAAAGGACACGACGTTAATGTCTAGTTCTGCTCTGCGCTGCACGTGTTAGACAGCCACGTAAGAGTTCTGATAGACAGCTGCCAACCCGTTTTCGAGGAATGGAGTATCCGACATCCCTAATAGGATTCCATAATTCTACCATTTCCAATTTAAAAGACGTATATTTAATCGAACACTGTGTTGTTTAGAATTATCTGAAAAGTGTTAACTATATTATAAAATATTATAAATGTTAAAAATTTAAAAGAGCAATTTTGAACTTCATTAGTTGAAATCACTTATTTGGTAATACAGAACGTGTGCGAGAACTTAATTTATTCTAGCTCCTAGACCACAGTGCGTGTTAGTTGGGAATTAAAAGTACTTATTTTTGCCTTCACCATTCACATTCATTTTATTAAAGTATTTAATTTTTTAGGGAATGAGCGTAGCTGTTCCGGGACCAACACTTTTGGATATGCAAAATCTGGTAAATACGGATACACAGCACATTGCCTTCATTTATACAGCGAGGTCAATTGGATATCTTGCAGGGTCTCTTTTAGGTTTGTATTTTTTAATTAATAAGTAGCATTTTATAACTAATTAGTTGTATTTTCTAATTAACTGTTATTTATTTAAGAGAACAAATACAAAACGCCTTATGTTCCACAAAGTATGCCACGAGGCTTACAGAAATAAGTCGCAAGGTTTATCCTAAGTTTTTAGCAGTTACCTTTAGTTAAAGCTACTTTCTTGTCCATTCTAATTTCAGCTTACAATTTCCCACCAAAATGTGTTTTTAGAATCGCGTTCAATGCAAATGAGTAAGAGTAGTATTTAAGTCGAAGTTCCACTGACTTCGAGAGAGAGCCTCAGAGTTTCTGACTAGCGCGCGTTCCCCTTTTTATCTAAGTCTCTCTAAGCTGTTACTAAGCTCGGCCGTATTTCAGGCCCTTTAATAGCTTCGCCAGCTTATTCGATATTTAGGGGCCAACTACTTAGAATTTTGATAGCTTCGGTTATATCGTTTTCGATAAGCATTAGTTAAGTCTTATTTCTTATTACTTTGAGTTCAAGCCCATGTGGAGGTTTTGCCGTTGCCTAAGAAAGGGACCATCTGTTAACTCTTATTTTGTGTAATAAGGATAATTAACCTTTTTCGAGTTTACGTCTCTGTTCCGGAACTAAAGCGATTATTCGCTTAGCTGTTCACTAGGCTCCCCATTTATCTGTTAGATAAAAGAATGAACCTCACATTTGGCGCCCGAAGCATTTCTCAAGAATTATGCTGTTAGAGAAAAAAAATTACGTTGGCCCCGTCCGACCTTGCAAGTCCCTCAGCCTTCAGCAAACCAGATGGAGGGATTCGGGTTCATCGTAGAAACAATGAGAGCAGCTATGAAGTCAGCTGAAACATCAGATGGCGAAGGTTCCGTGATGACCTTCCTAGAGCAGATGGACCTGCATTTCACTACATACCCAGTGCACCAGCTGCAGAAAATTACTATTGTTACAGCGAACCTAAAAGGCCAAGCCCTCAGTTGGTTCAAAGGAATTGGCAAGTTCCTGTTGGGGGATCCAGGTTCCGAAACATATACCTGGAAAAACTATAAAACAGCGCTATTAAAAGCATTCCCAGTTGTTAAAGACCGAGGGAAGTTTGAGGCAGAATGTTTTAGTAAATATCAAACCAATTTCGACGAGTTGATGGACTTCATATTCAGAGGTTCCAGATAGTTAACTTACTATATTAAAAGAAGCCGGTTAATTAAGTTATTGAAATGGTTCCGCCACGTCAACTCTCGTCATTTCAGGACCTTCTTGATGTCAGACGTTAGAGAACTTATTCCAATTAGAAGTAAAATTTCAGAGCAAACGAACCGCTGAAAACGCGCCCCCGTGCAGGCAACTTTCGTCAGTATTCGAGGTTTTCACCTCAGAAGAAACCTCAAGGTCAGCAGAGTTTTTAACAGCAAGCGGAGAAAGCAGAAAACTAGATAACAAGACAGGTCAGTCTAAAACATTTGGAAACCGAAGTAAAAAGCAGCAGAACCAAGGTGCGGAAAACAAGAATTTAAATTGATCACGGTGGCCGAGAAAACGGTTCCCGGTCACCCTTCGAGAAGAAAAATCCTTTGGAGATTAAATTGAATACGGTAGTCGTACAAAATTTGGCCTTTACCGAGATCCACATCTTATTGAACGATGTTACTACTACCGTCCTACTCGATACCGGAGCTCAATGCAGCTTAATCGCGCAAATAAGGTAGATATATTTTTAAACCCGAGAATTTCAAATTTATTCTAATTACAAGACTAATAAATAAAAGCAAGTTTCTTTGTATATGTACAGCTTCCAGGTTAACAATGGACACCAAGAATGAATGGCATTCTAGTGTAAATATGTTGAATTAGATTTACACTAGGAGTATACTCCGTTTTACATATTCAGAGACATGACGAAATAATACGAGTTATCAGCGTCAAATGTGGATTCTATAAATTAAGCACAAGTAACTGTATGTGATTATAAATCATTTCCCAAAATAATGGGAATACTTCCTAACTTCAGATCACAGAATAGGGCAAAATCGCAGTTATGTTTCATAAGGCACTGGTGTTTCAGGAAGAACCACACTTGTTGGTTTCTCCCATCTTGTATCAAGCATGTACCAGTAGTGAATGAAACATGAGCTGGTATAAAGAATATGAACCAAGTGCAATAGAATATTACGATTGGTATCTTAGCAACGCACTGTATCAGTCATATAAATCACCTTAGTATAGCAGTAGTAACCTGTTTCCACTTGTACATGCAAAAATCTAATTTGCATCACTAAGGCTGCTATCACATGTCACCTTGTTTCGAAAGAACAACTGTTTGGAACAATTTTTCTGCTTTGTCACAACAGCCAATCACCACAGATCGCTTTGGGGTTAACACAGGGGAAACTGGTTCTCCATTACAAACAAGCTAACAGCATTCGACGCTGATAGCTGATTGGTTGAAAACGAACAACTTGCAACTTTTTTCGAAAGGAAGGAAAAAGTTGCACGTCTTTCTTTCAATAGTAAACCAGGCAGAAAAATTGTCCGAAACAGTTGTTCGTGTGAAGCAAACGCCGTGTGATATGGGCTTTAGGATTACACAGTCGAAAACTGGCAGATAACATCTAGCACGGTATCAAAGAAATGACAACAGACAGATATTATGATGATCTCTAAGCCTGGCAGATAACGTCTCATACGGGACCAAGGAAATTTGGCAATGAAGCTATAACGACTTCACTCGTCGCATAGAAAAAGCATAACTCCAAAATACTCAGGTTGAAGAGAACTTTTGCCCTGATCTTTGGATCATCATGTTACAAAAGAAGTCCAAGGTGCGGGACGTGATTCTAACAAAGCAGCAAAATGATAATGACCTTCATTGATGCCATCTATCGGTTAACATCAGCATTACAAGAAACAAAAACAAAGAGTTCTCGAATAGAAAAATGGTCCTTATTACCGAATACAAAAGCGCCACAAGACTGACTAGATTTAACGGAGGCAACAACACCTTGACCGCCACCGAAAACCCTTTGTAGGTAAAAAAAATAAAAAAAAATTAAGATGTATTCCTTGATTACACAGGGGAATCGCAAAGTATGGTGGATGCGGTGTTTCAGCCGAAGAAGCTTTTTCATGGTACATCACCAGTTTTTTATAAATCCACAAAACGTAACGGTGAATGTTAAGGAATTTATCCACTGACCACCCATATCAGCGGGAGATACAATCAGATACAATCCTTTTATTTTCCAAAAGAGCAAAGGTAGTTTACCATCGTGCTTTTTCAAGCATCGTGCTTTTTACCTTGTGCTTTTTCAAGCACGATGGTAAAGTACCAGTTACCCAGCAGTTAACTGCTGGGTAACTGGGGACATATAAGAATGAGTTATCCACATAGCTTTAAGTCTTCAAACTTTCTCATCTGCAATCCGTCTAAATATTCGGAAGGGTATGGAAGCTAATCTTCTTTCTGTGTATATGCGTGAACTGACGAAGCTTCCGCAACGAATATCATGTGAGGATAGATTTGATTACGAATTTCGGATATCTTATATGATATGCATATAGAACATCCAGAATTTCTGAAATTTAATTCTAAGACGTGTGTGAGCCATGGTTTTCCAAAATGGGTGACCAGCACATTATTGTGTTGATGCTGCTATTGAAAAGTTAAATCAGTATAGTACAGTAGTATTATGTTGCGATATAAGAAATTCTCTCATTAGCAACTTATCGATTGCAATTTACAATCGATGCAATTTTTAAGTATACGTGTTGCCATTAAATTTTGAAAGTCGTTAATGTGCACATTACCTAGTTAATCTATTATTTAAGTTCTTAGAGCCGTTGAGCAGAATGTACTCGGCTAGAAAATTGATCAAAAGTCCAATATTTTGGCCCATTTGGAACTTTAGAAATGGCGGATTATCAAATACGCTGAATTTTCTGAATGAAATTGTATAACTCTGCAAAGTGATCTATTTTTGTGTTGTTGAATGCATTAAGGATGGAGGAAAATTGCATATAGTAATTCTCTAAATATCTTTAATGAAGAAATCTTATTAATAAGTAAATTTATTCAGAGTTTAATTACAGCACATGAAAGCTATCTACATACAAGCTGAACAACCACCTGCTTTATAGATATCTCTCTTTAAAAATTAGAGAAGTAAATAAATAAATCCTAGAAATATGAATACTCACTGCCTTTCTTCAGTAGTCTTCTTCTTATTATTATTATTATTTTCTCTCTCATATTGATGTTAACATTACAATACTCCTACTCTCATTTTCCTTTAGTCCATTAGCAGTACCCATCTTTTGGTGATTTGTTACTCATGGGTTTTTCGTTTTATTCTCTTACTAATATATTTCAAACTTTTGAAACATTTAGATAGACCAAAAGAATGCAAGGTATATAAATGCAAAAATTTTAAGTAAAGCATTAACAGAAAGTGGCAGAAGCATAAGAACTAGCCTGCAAGCATTACTGAATATTACTAATACTGTAAAGATATTAAAACTATAATAATTATTATCTACACTATATAATTATTATTATACCTATGCTCACTAGATCTAAAGTGACCGCCTGATTAAAGCCGCTGAATATTAGTTGTTTGAGCCAGGTCCGAATCCAAGGCTACTAGGCTAACTTGCATGGATGTTATTTTCCGAGAATCATTTGAGTAAACCGTATCGCGCAGCGAACATATTGAAAAAAGTCAATTCTCATGATTGGATATGTTTCATTTCCTCCTGTGCTCGGGGGCAATGCCTTGGCGCCATTTGTGCTCGATAAATGTAACTTTCATGCTGTTCTTTCATGTTTTATTCTCAGCGCTGGATTACGGTTCCAGCTTTAAAAGAACTACTATTTTTACTAACAACTATTGCTTCTGAACTATTTTTACTAACTTTTATTACTAAGTATGTCTTACTTCCTACCACGAGACTGAATTTCTTACTACACTGACCTGGGATGTAATAAATGCATATAAAAGATGCA